TCATAACATTAAAAGGGAAAATTTAAAATTTTGTTTTATTGTCACAAAAGATGCAATTTATATTAACCTTAAAAGGAAAAATTTTAAATTTTTCTTTATTGCAAATAAATTGTAGACGATCGATCTTTTTTTATTGTTGCCGCCTCCCAAAATATTATAGAAGAAATCTGTTACAGTGAGATCCTAAGCGCAGCTCGGAGAAAGTATGCGACGGAGGCATACGTCATATGCGAGCCTTTGGGATCCGTAACCCCGCGGTCCCTAATGCGCGAACTATTTTAGCAGACGAAGTCCCAGAGCCAGTACCCACGATGCGACACGTCGCTTTAGTGTGAGCCAACCTGCGGTATTGAAGCTGCTTAATACGGCTGGACTCCATCCGTACCACTTCCAGCCGGTTCAGCAGCTCCATGACCTAGACTCAGTACCACGTCGAGCCTTATGCGAGTGGCTTCTACATCACCGCGATGCAAACATCTTGTGGACGGATGAGGTATTGTTCACACATGTGGGACTGTTTCTTATGGGAAGAAGTCAAACGCCGGAATATAGAAGAGGCACAAAGCCTAGAAGACTTAACAATAAAAAATAATAACGCTAAAATTTTACAAAAAAACTAAAATTTTACATCCCCAGAATTACTATGGGAGTAATCCCAATTGAAATAGAAGGAGAATCTAAAATTTGAGGAATACAAATGGACTACAGACTGACATTCAACACACATATTTCATATATATGTGAGAAAACTTTAAATATATATGTAAGAATAAAAATTCGCAGCTCACATGACCAAAGTAATAGTAACAACTAAAAAACTTAAATTTTACATCCACAGAATTACTATGAGAGTATTCCCCATTGAAATAGACAGAGAATCAAGAATTTGAGGAATACAAATCGACTGCAGACTGGCATTCGACACACATATTTCATATATATGTGAGAAACCTCTAAATTTATATGTAAGAATTAAAATTTGCTGCTCACATGACCAAAGCGATAGTAACAAAGAAAAACTTAAATTTAACATCCACAAAATTACTATGAGAGTAGTCCCCATTGAAATAGACAGAGAATCAAAAATTTGAGGAATACAAATCGACTACAGACTGACGTTCAACAACGTCTGGTCCAACGCCGCTGTGACACGACGAAAGATATATACTCGTAGGTACATTATTTAATAAGACATATATAAAATATGACTTTAAATGAATTAAAGTCATATTTTATAAATTGTATCGTCAACGTGTAACGGTGCGTCATACCACACCGTTTGTTTTCTCTTAGTCTATTCTTTGATCTTTTTAAATTAAATTTAAAATTTTAAGTAACGCAATATGCTCTCTCTTAATGGCTGTTCGTTAATTTCTACCGCTTTTAATACCAAAGACTAAAATCGTAGTGTCTAAGAACCATGAAGTCCATATGCATGTTTCATTACTTTATACTGCTTCATAGCCCAGTATCAGCCCACTACTGGGGGTGGACAGCAATATTTTATGTTAACGGACTTCAAGTATTATTTGTTAAGAAGAAAAGTTCTTTATTGACTATAGATGTCGCTTGGACATTTCCTTGTGCAAAAGGTAAAGAAAATGTTATATGAATAATGTACCGTTTATGAATATCTGCTATGTTGTCAGTACTATAATCCTTAGTGAGAACCTGATATCGAAAAGTAATGAGCAGATGATACCGATAATATATTTTAGCTCTAATACCTACTGAAATAATAAATATCGACAGCTTATAATAAATCTGTTAAGGTTTTCGTCAGAAAGAGAAATGTCGATGTTCAAATGTAATATGAAGAATAATTTTTGTTTCATCAATTTTGCATTTGTAATGTTATATTGGGGCACTTTGGACTAGTGAACATATCTGTAACTGCAAACGAAAAAAGCCGTTCTCAATGAACTATATACAAATTATATAGTTCATTGTGCTAACTGAAAAATGGAAGGCAATCTGGACACGTATCCTTATTATCGCACTCATTTCGTGGGTAATTCTTACTTAGGGGTGAAAAACCACAAAAAAGGTTGCTGTGAATGTGAGTGTATAATAGTGAGTGAACAAGACCGAGGTACCATAAGTTTCTGGGGGTCTCCACGTCCAAAGAGGCCCGAGAAGGCGCTTTGGATCACTGCCGGGAAAACCCACCCAGGCGATGGCGCTCTTTCATTATTACAATATTTTAATGCCAAAAAGATTTCATTGTTTTCGTGCTGGTCAGAGTACTGCAACGGTGCTAGTAAAAATCACCGATGATATCAGGTCAGGTATGGAAAATGGAAAAGTCACTGTTCTTAGCTTACTGACTTCAGTAGTGCTTTTAATACGATAAACTATGACATTTTGCTTGGCATACTGCGCTCAATTAACATATCTCCAGTGGTGATTGATTGGTTCCGTAGTTACCTGTTTGGACGCCGACAGCATATTCGCATCGATGATTCTTTTTCAAATTGGTGTGATATTGCCGCTAGGGTTCCACAGGGTGGCGTTTTATCCCCGTTAGTTTTCGCTTTATTCATTAATTCCATTTCAAATCAATTACTTTCATCCTACCACTTCTATGCAGATGATTTGCAAATTTATTCCCAAGCTCGCATAAATGAACTTTCTCAAGCCATTTAAACAACGATTTATACACAATTTGTAAGTGGAGCAAATCATATTGTTTGTGAGTCAATCCATCCAAGACTCAGGTTATTCTCAGGTTATTCCAAGACTCAGGCAGCTCCGGCATTGGCAGCTTGAAATTAGAGTTACCAATGCATTCCACTAAATTCTTTGACAAATCTTTTACTGTTCAAGCTGCCCATCTCTGGAATGCGTTACCGGAAGATGTGAGTCATGCACAATCTATAGACAGTTTCAAAAGTAGACTTAAGGAGCATTATTTGTCACTATAATCACCATTTGCTTTCTTCATCTTTGTATATATTTAAATTAGTTTTGATATCATGATTATAATAATGTGTTTATGTAATCCATTACATGTATTATTATTTAAATATTTTGTGATTTGTTATTATTTATTTGTATATTGTATTGTATATCATATTGTAGGTAATAAAGATTCTTTTAGACGCCATAGCCTACTCAATTATAATTTATTTTTTTCCTTTTGTAACGGTTGCCTGGAAGAGATCGCGTCTAAGCGATAAGGCCGCCGATTGTACTTATCGTTAACTTATAACTGTAATGTTTTTAACTGTATGGTGTTTGTACAATAAAGAATATTTCATTCATTCATTGTTATAATAAAAGATATTTGTGCCAAGTTGAATCTTGGTTCTTTTTCTTATTTTTTTTTGTAGTGTAAAGACATATGACTGACATTAAATATGTTTCAGGTGCCCAATTTGGGACAGCATAACAATTAAAAGCATCAGGCTTCAAAGCTCTGTACTTAAGGCACCGCGTAGACGATTGATGTTCACGCTATATTTAATCACCGCAAATGTTCTAAAACTAAAGCAACATTTTTAATATAAAGTTACTCTCGCGAATTCACTCAGATAAAAAAAAACTGTTCAGCATACATAAATAAGCCATTTGTACAATATGCGTGCAATAAAGTTTAAATAAATAAATGAAAAGTATTTTTAGCGCCTCATTGAGCATGCTGTTCCAACGGCGACGGCGCAGCGACACGACGAAAGATATCAACATTTTTTAAACGAATTACTAAATATTCCAAAATCTGTAAGTCATATTTTGTATAGTATATCGTAAATGCTTTTAAAGGAACTAAAATGAAACAAATTGCATCGTCTAAGAATCATAAAGTCTTTATGCGTTTTATATTTTCGTAAGGGGTGATCTCTGCTATTCCCTATCTGGCTATGTACCTGTTGTGCTTCCCACTGGGCTTTAGTGTAGATTTTATTTTTAAGAGTTAGTTGAACATTACTACTTGTAGAAAATATCTAACTCCTTAGTTAAATCGTGTCTTACATTAATTATAATATTTAATTATATCATTATATGAACGTTGAAACCTGCTCACACTTAGACGGATTCATATGTGAAAAAGAGAAAACATCTAAGTTAATTGCACTGTAGAGGAAGGACGAGACAACGGACTGCACACATGTGCCCAAAGACACATGCAAAGACATCAAAAAATACAATCCTTCTTGGAGAACTGGGATGGCAGGACTATGGCCTCCACTGTTTACACGCAAAATAGGTATTAAGTGTCGAGTTGCGGAAAACACCCGTCGACAAGAAGAAGGAGGTAAGCGGGCTGTGTCTGCAAAGCGGGAATATTGTGAGAATCTGTTTAATTCGTGCTTTATCTGTGCTTTACCTCATTGTCTTGTTGCACATATTGTCCTTTTTTAAATTACCTGTCTGTTATTTTTCTCTATCACCATTGGTTTCCTGGAAGATATTGCTGCATAGCAATAATTTTTTTTTTTTAGGCTGCCATTTATAGACTGATCTTAAATATTGTTTTTCTTCTAATGTGTCCAGTTCTTGGATAATAAGGAATATTATCAATATTATTGTTGTTACGAGTATTGTTAATGAAACCTTACACTTTTTTATCCAAGTACAAAAGTATTGAATCACCCGTAGCTTTAGTCAGTCCCACATTTTATAAGTTGCTCTGTACTGTAAAAACCGCAGAAAGGGGATAGTTTAAAAAATGAAATAATACATTATGTCAGTATACGATCTTTCTATTATAGGTGGAAAATTTCATTGAAATCAGCTAAGTTCGTCTGAAGCTAGACAAAAAAACGAAGGAAAAATTTTGTTTTTATTTTCAAAGTGGAAACAAGATCGAGCCCCTATATATTTATTGAGGCCTCTAGAAGAATCCCGACGAGATGCTTCCGACGCTAAAAAAACCAATATTCTAGGGCTTCACCAGATACTGACAAAACGCCACCAGCCACCACAGCCAGGTGCCATGATCCCGATCAAAAAAATCGGCTAGAAAAAAGAGATAGAACAAAGGAGCGAGGAGGCAGTAGAAAAAAAATATTTTTCAACACGATATCTGAAGAAATGCAAAAAAAACACGACCAGAAGAAATGCAACCACACTTCCCAAGACCCTATAGACGCGTGGGTTCGGAGCCGAAAAGTACAGGTTAGAGATAAAATTGATTAATAAACAAAATTACGGATTTTTAATTTTAAAAAATATAATTCATAATATTTTAATATTTTCAATTAATATTAAAATTCAAATTAATACTCTAATAATTGCAATATTAATTTTATTTATATTTCCACACGTGGGCAGATAATAAGTCCAATAATTCGTCGAACGAATAAATCTGCAGAACGCTTTTTAAGAACGATAGTTGACTAAACGATGCTGAACTATGCGACCTGCTCACACGTATACTGATTCGCCTAAGAAATGGAGAAAGTATCAAAGTGAAACATGCATATATTATAATGAAATACTTAAGTACCTAATACTTGTACTTAAATGTGGTTATGAAAACAAAATATTTTAAGTCTTCATTTTTTAAATAAATTCAATAATATTGAATTACCTTTCTCATAAATAGATCCTCATAAATAGATCATAAGAAAATATGTTATTTGAGAAGTTAGCCCCCGAACAAAATAAAATAAAAATTAATATATAATATACTAAATAGTAACACAAATAATTCTGACAAAATAGAAAATTTCTCCGATTTCATATAGTTCTATTCAATCTAGGTAATTTGATGTTGAAGATATATCTAGATCTAGAGGTCTGGTTATAGATAAAATGACCACTAATATTGAAAAAGTTGATCAAAATCGAATATTAACAGTTGTATCGTGACAACAGTAAAAGAATTGCGTCAAATTAACAATTCAAGTTAATTTTTGTGGGCTTTTACTACATAAGCTTTCATAGACTTTAATGAGATAGTGATCAACAAAACCACTGGAATAAAGTAGAATGTCGAAGAAAAGTCTTTTCACAAAAATGTATGCCTTTAAACTTGTAATTAAACTCTTTTGTTAAAAACGGGATAGTTTGACAGTAGTGTGATTAAAGATAGTTTTACTATTTTCAAAAGAAACTCAGAAAGAGGCAGATTATCAACGCGACAGGGTAATATGGAGGTTTTTATCGGGTAGGTGAACAGTACTGGACCGCCGTTCCTTGAAGTTAGAGAACCCCGGTTAAGTCGACCTTCGTCCAGGTCGATGAATTGTTAAAATCAGTTCCCTTCGGTAAAAAAGGCTATCTCACGTGGGCAGATAATGAACCCAACAATTCGTCGAACGAAAAAAACTGTCGATCACACTTCAAGGACGACGGTTTGCCAACGTTTGACGTTGGCACGTTGTGATCTAATCACACAAATCACCACGATGTAAGACGATCAATCGACAAGGTGTCCCCGCAATCAGAGTCTTCGGTTTATAAACGGGAGCTCGTCACAATAACAGTGAAGAGAAGATTTCTACATTTACAGAAATGGAAGCTCAACTATGCCCGCTTCGATATTCTAAGCGGAGCATGACGCAGTTTATCAGATCTTCAATAGTAAAGCAGAAGTTCCAGTTGTAAAAATTAAAAGAAAACAAACAAAAGGTCTATATTCAGACGTCGCTTTAACATCTGCAAAAAATAAGATTGACCAGTAGCGTATCTCTATCTAACAAGACAAGTGCGACATGACAACCTACGCTCATTGTCTACCCACAAAGGGAGGGACATTAATTTGTCCCCCCCTCCCCCACCACTCGGTCATATAATTTTATAAACTGTAACGTTTGATATTTAAAGTTATATAGTACTTAGGAATAAGATCAAGGCGAAAAGTGCATACAAAAACCTTGCCGGTATGATATCCTAAACTGATGATGATATCCTAGTCGTTGCAGAAACTGAAAACACCGTGGAAGGCAATCTGAACAACCATACCTGTTATCTCACTAATAATTGCATACGGTGTTGAAAACTAGAGTTTCCACACTCTTTTAAACGAGACGCCTGCCTATATGAAACAGGTGCTAGGCGTAGACTTTCGAGCTATGAGTAAAATACTTCAATAAGTGATTGAAAGTTTATTATTTATTTTATGGAGGACGACAACAATCGATGCAAAAATGGTTTAAAAGGTAAGCAAAAAGTTTTTTATATGGAGTTTTTTATATAATCATTTAGATTAAAAAGCTGTACATCATATATAAATAAGCCATTTGTACAATTTTCCGAGCAATAAAGTTTAAATAAATAAAAAATGTAGTAGTCTCTCAGTATGCATGCTGGTCCACGGCGCAGCGACACGAGGAAAGATATTAAACATTCTTAAAAGTATTTAACTTATACTTTATATAGTGTATCGAAAACGCTTTTAAAAGATCTAAGAATTATGAAGTCTATATGTATATTTCATAACTTCATATAGCCCATTACTGGGGATTGACAGCAATATTTTATGTCAACGGTCTTCAGTTATTAGACAGTGGAGAAGAAAAGTATATATCGAGACGTTGCTTGGACATTTCCTTGTGCAAAAGGTAAAGAAAATGTTAGATTAATAAATATACCCTTTGTAAATGTCTGTTCTCAGTACTTTAGGCTTTAGGCCTTAGCGAGAACCTGATATTGAAAAGTAAGATCTGTTGATAATAGGTACCGATAATATTTTGACTATCACCTACTTAAATAATATACATAAAATCGACAGCTTATATTATATCAAATTATAATAGATCCAATATCGGTGTTCAAATATTATACGAAGGAATCTTTTTCTTTTTTCAATTTTGCATTTGTAATGTTATCTAGGGGTAGTTTGGACTAGTGAATTTTTAAACGTTTTTCTTTTAGAGCTACCTATGAGATGTACAATGAGGATATTATTTTAAAAAGAACTAAACCTAGCTAACATGATTATATTGTTCATTTTAGAAACAGAAAATACCATACAATCTGAACATATATCCCTTTTATCGCACTAATTTCGAAGGTTCTTTCTACGTAGGGGCAAAAACCACGAAAAAGTTATGTGTGAATTTAAAGTGAACAAGACCTACGTACCATAAGTTTTAGGGGTCTCCAAAAGGGCCCAAGAATGCCGCGAAATCCACTCGGGCCATCGCGTCCTATTAACAATAACATCATATTTTAATGTAAGAAAGATTTTATTCTAATAATAAAACATTAAGAAAGTCTTGGTTCTTTATCTTTCTCTTGATTTTTTTATAGTATAAAGACATATAAATTATGTTTCAGACGCCTCTATAGGTACAGCATTACAATTAAAAGCATCAAGCTTCAAAGCCACGTAATCTAGGCATCTAGGTAGCTCGGTGGCGTAGTGGATAAGCGCCGCGGCCCGCGGTCGTAGTCGTTAAGCAACTTTCGCAAGGGTCGGATGGGTGACCAAAAAATTATTATCTCGAGCTACTCCGTGCTTCAGAAGGCACGTAAAGCCGTTGGTCCCGGCTGCATTTGCAGTCGTTAATACCCTCCAATCCGCATTGGGCCAGCGTGGAGGGTCATGGCCCATCCACCTTAACCATCCAAAAGGAAGGCCTGAGCCCCTGCAGTGGGGACGTAAAAGGGCTGGTGATAAATCTAGGCATCATGTGGACGATTATCTATCTGTTTACGATTTATTAAATCACTGAAAATGTTCTAAAACTGAACACCCATTTTTTATATAGTGTTACTCTCGCGAATTCACTCAGATATTGTACTCCGAGAGAAAAGCTGCACCGCATACATAAATAAGCCGTTTGTACAATTTTCGAGTAATAAAGTAGCGCCTGATTGAGCATGTTGGACCAACGGCGCAGCGATACGACGAAAGATATCAAAATTTTATAAATGAATTACCAAATTCTTAAATCTTCTAAATGAAAAATGCTTAAAAAACCCACTTGGGAAGCATTTTTCATTAAGAATATTTTAGAATTTGCGAAAATCTACCCGGGCCATCGCGTACTATTAACAATAACATCATATTTTAGTCATATTTTGTATAGTGTATCGTAAATGTTTATAAAAGGACGAAAATGTAACAATTTGCAGTGTCTAAGGATCATGAAGTCTATATGCATATTTCATTCATTCATATTTTATTTTATTTAAGAACTGGATGATATCGGCACTACCTTACCTGGCTATGTACCTGTTAAGCTTCCCACTGGGCTTTAGTGCTTCTCAAAAAATAACTAATTCCACAGGTAAGCCGCGCTTGCATACATGTTTTTGCGGATCACTTGGCTAAGGATGTCGTCATGATATACGCGTTATGTATAAAGTGGTTTAAGGATTTATAAACACCCAGATCCGAGAACATATACCTCAATTTCATTTTCTACATTGACCTGCCTGATATCTAACCCGGGACCTAAGAGTTGGAGACGGCGACTTGAAACCGTCACGCACGCCACTCGGCTACGAAGGTCATTAAATCATGTTCGCCATGTAAATAGTGGTTTAAGATTTTGTTCATAATATGTTAGGTATTTGGAACTTGACTTTGAAATATATAGATTTTTATAATATTCATCTTGTTTTTATAATATCATTTTGTCATATACAATGTGTATTAGTATAAAATAAAATCTAAAACGTCACGTTCCAAGACATGAAATAATTTAAAAAACTCTGACATAATACTCGTATTTATAATGAGTTATCAAAATTCCCGTTGCAACAGTGGCATCGAGTCCACTGAAGTCGCTGTATGAGTATGACAGATTCTCTTCTATCGAGTAAAATATACATTTGTTTCAAATCAAATCAAAATATTAATTGCGTGTCACATTACAAACAGTGAGATATAATTAAGTTTTAGGTATACATGTGACATTGCATTGCAATATGGAGAGGCTGGACTCGATTGGATGCGGTGATGGACAATCACCAAGGTTTGATTTCTGCCAGTTTGAACTAACAACCCATTTCATCAGCTGGATTTTTAATTTCAAAGAGAAAATCGTTGCCCGATTTAGAGTAATGTCATCGGCCCCCTCGAAAGGACCGCCAAATAAGACACTATGTAACTAGTGGCTTA